AAGAAGAAGAAGAAGAAGAAGAAGAAGAAGAAGAAGAAGAAGAAGAAGAAGAAGAAGAAGAAGAAAAGAAGAAGAAGAAGAAGAAGAAGAAGAAGAAGAAGAAGAAGAAGAAGAAGAAGAAGAAGAAGAAGAAGAAGAAGAAGAAGAAGAAGAAGAAGAAGAAGAAGAAGAAGAAGAAGAAGAAGAAGAAGAAGGAAGACAAAAATCTTCAGACATCACTAATTGCCTACAGCTAAGCACTACCGAGCAGCAGATCAAAGTCAAAATTGTGAGAACATGCCTTTTTCATGTAACAAGAAACGGATGTGAGTTGTGGACTATCTTGCAATCATTGTGGGAGAGAATAGGGGCTTTTGAGCTGAAATACATTGGGATTGAGATTCTGATTTACTTTTCGTTCGGGTTTATATCTTTTCTTGAGCTGAAATACAGAAAGATTCGCATTCGCAGAATGGTTTTTGAGGTTTTGAGCAACGGATCAACATTATGGCACACGGGTAGTAACCGTGAGTGCTCTTCTTTTGAATCAAGTCCGAGTCCGAAAAAGCTCAGCACAGTACACAAGCTCTGTAGCACCGGCGAGGATCCTGAAATACTTTGGGTAGATTTTGAAGTCCAAATTTTGCACTTACCGGGAATTGAACATGGAAACTCTAGAACCCGGGGCGGACACTACGCCTTGAGACCATGCAGCCGCCCCCCCCCCCTCCCTCCCCCCTTCCCCCCGAGAGATTCTTAAAATACGCAGAGCTACCAAGGGATCCGGCCGGGGCTCAACACTTAAAGGCAGGGCGAGACGGATATACAATCAGACAGTTACTGGTGCCATCGGAACTGGAACTCTTCGCTTGCTGCTGAAGATGGGGACGGGGCGCTTCTATTCTTAATTCAACATTCTCAGAATACATGAACCAAGAAGACAAGAAATACTGACAACTTAAAAGATCTACATATCAGAATAAAGCTGTCTCATAAAACTCTCTTTTTTTGTGCCACGAAATAACCTACTTTCCTTTGTTGGTGAGCGCGTCTTAAATAATTATCTTTGATGATGAAGAGGTCCAAACCCAGCAAAACATCGCACCGAGTGATAAACACCAGAAGACACAAAGTGGAACCATTCGGATGCATATCATCCGGGGACAGGTCCCAGAAAACCTTTACAACCCACAGGCTAGGTTGTATTAGGGCCCCCGGCAAAATCCTTAGGGGCGGGGGTTAAACAAAAAGGAAATTGCGTCTAGCATTGAGACGCACTGTAATAATGCTAATAAATATCTTTATGAGTGAGTGGGTGAGTGAGTGAGTAAGTGGGTGAGTGAGTGAGGGAGTGTGTGAGTGAGTGAGTGGGTGAGTAAGTGTGTGAGTGAGTGAGTGACTGAGTGAGTGAGTGGGTTGGTGGGTGGGTGGGTGAGCGAGTGAGTTAGTGAGTGAGTGGGTGAGTGGGTGAGTGAGTGAGTGAGTGAGTGAGTGAGTGAGTGAGTGAGTGAGTGAGTGATTGAGTGAGTGAGTGAGTGAGTGAGTGAGTGAGTGAGTGAGTGAGTGAGTGAGTGAGTGAGTGAGTGAGTGAGTGAGTGAGTGAGTGAGTGAGTGATTGAGTGAGTGAGTGAGTGAGTGAGTGAGTGAGTGAGTCAGTCAGTCAGTCAGTCAGTCAGTCAGTCAGTCAGTCAGTCAGTCAGTCAGTCAGTCAGTCAGTCAGTCAGTCAGTCAGTCAGTCAGTCAGTCAGTGAGCGAGTGAGTGAGTGAATTAGATTTAACAACACCAGGACATTCTCCAAGCGATAAACACCCGACTACACAAACTGCTACCATGCGGATGAGGATCACCCGGGGGAGAGCTCACAGAGACCTTGTTCAGCTCATAGGCTGGATTGTATTAGGACCCCAGCAACAGCCGTGGTGGGGCTCTAAAACAACAACAAAATGCTCTGGACATTGGAATGCATAAATCTCTCTCTCTCTCTTTCTCTCTCTCTCTCTCTCTCTCTCTCTCTGTCTTTCTCTCTCTCTCTCTCTCTCTCTTTCTCTCTCTCTCTCTCTCCCTCTCTCTCTTTTTGTACCCCACCAGGACATTACATAAGCGATTAACACCTGGTGACACAAAGTGCCACCATGCGGATGAGGATAACCCATAGAGAGGTCTCAGAAACACCTTTCAGCCGTTATGGCCACATTTGTTACCCAGCTATATTCAAGGCCCCCGGCAAAAGCCAGCGTGGGGCTTCAGATAACGAAAAATTGCATCCCACATGGGGACGAATGGTACTTAATATCTTTTGCCACCTACTCCATGCATCATTTGCCACCTGACGATAAAACCTATTATACTAGTTACGTCATATTAACCTTGCTTGTCGGTCAGTTATCTTCCATATAGTGTCTGATGAACTATAATCCTTTCTATTTTATGAGCCCTGGGTTTACACACAAGTCTCTTGTCAATGGACATGTCAACACTGATCGAGAAGACAACTCTGTCCTATATACCCCTGGGAAATATTATATGAGTTACGTACCCTAGTCAAAAAAAGCTCAAATCCCCTGTGTATCTTTCAAAGATAAGAGACGATTTCAGAAGTGTAATGCATTTGAAGAAAATAGTTTCAAGCTGATAGAAAATTCTCACAATAAATAATGAGATCTAAAACCAGTCATAGATTTGTCAAACTGAAAAGGTCCCCAGAGACAGTCAATCCTATACATAGTCTTTTCAATGAAATCTAGTGTCACCAGTGTCATAATCGGAATATGAACCAATGATTTAAAACTGATAGCAAGTTCTGACAGGGAAGAATGTTTGAATGGAGAAGACACAAGCAATAGATTGCACAATTGATTGCCTATGATATTTCACTGTACCACTTTAGGTGCATACTACAGTATTAATTGCATGAATGAAGCAAATAAGTAATTCTTTATAACGGAAGTACAAATTCAACGCCAATCAAAAGCGACTGCCTGATTCGTTGTTGTTGAATTTAAAGATCTAACGATTAATTTATCCGTTTCGTTTATGAAATTTTTGCTACAGTATTCACATGATGAGATACAGCGAAATATGCCAGGCAATGAAGTGTGCAGTCTATTCCTTGAGTCTTCTTTGTTCAAATTTACAACGGGAAAACATTGCTTTGAGTACAGAATGTGTCAATTTCTATTTCTCTCTCTCTCTCTCTCTCTCTCTCTCTCTCTCTCTCTCTCTTTCTCTCTCTCTCTCCCTCTCTCTCTTTTTCTCTGTCAAACACACACACACACACACACACACACACACACACACACACACACACACACACACATACACACTGTTACTAATGCAGAATGACAACAACAACAACAAAAATATAATAAAAACAAATTAAAGTTAGTTGTGTGTCTTTTGCAGAAAAATGCACATTTAATCTGGGCCCGCTGATCTTTTCATTTGTATTTACGCTGTTGTGGTTTTTCTAGGCAAATTTACTTTCAGTAGATTGCTCAATGAACGGTCGGCTCTCGTACCACTGTCGAAACTAAGGCAAGGCAGTCTGATAATGATATTGATATACCTGAAATAATATGAAATGTGTAAACAAAAACTTTCAAATAAAATGTCCATTCATGGTTAAAGTGGAGCTTTTAGTCGTCTTATAACATTATTGTGGAAGGGGAAAAAGGGGGGGGGGGGAGGGTCAAGGTACTTGAGTACCCAGGTTCATGTGCCTCTAGTTCCATGCTAGACACACACACACACACACAAAAACCGCCCAAAACTTGACCACGTTCAACCTGCTGTTTACAGCGATCTCCCAACAATCTCAGATTATATTTGTGGTCTGGTTATTTGCGCCACTTGCCTTGCTAGTTGAAGTATATGCCCCAATTCTCTGGCTTTATTTTCCTACCCTAGTAGTTAGGCCGCTCCTACCTGTCGGTCCCAGTGTGTTCCTCTTGTACTTATCTTCTTGATGTGTTTCCTAGGTAGTCATCCTTCGTCCCGTTCTTTCTCCTTATTATTTTGTCCGTGTGTCTTCTAATTTGTCTAGGTGCCTGCGCCACGAATGTTTACAGAAGTGAAGTCACTGAGCAAAAATTATGAATAACAAGCTCAATACGGTGTGGGGGGGACTCATTCTAATTACACACATCAGCCACCGGGTAGCCCATTGGCGTGCAATGCTAAGCCGATTTATATGGCGCACATGACCAAGTCACATGTATAGCCTAAAGGTCAACCTTCGAAGATGCTGGTTAAACTTGACGATTTTTTAATTTTAATTTTTCCAGTATAGCATTTGCCTACCCACCATTTTCTATCACCGCGGTTAATCTCAGAAAACTTTAAAATATAAAAGTTAATAAAAGGTGAAAGTGGGGGGAACCCGAAGATGAAGAAAAAGAAGAAGTTTGAATTCTAAAAAAAAAAGCCTTAGATAAATTACCCAAAATAATATTAATACAATTAGAAAATTTTAAAGAATTTTTTTTAATATATGAAGAAGAAAAAAAGTGACATTTGTAGGGCAATAAATGATAGTTTAGGCCCGTGCAGATTGTGTGGCTAAAAGCTATAGCTTAGGTTATGGGCCGATCCAGCACTGGTTGTTTGCTACACTTGAAGACTGGGAACTATACATTAGCTTTCCTCATGGCTTCTAGCCTCCTATTAAAAGTTGTTTTTTCCCCCAGAGAACTTATTTCTTCTTCACGTCCATCGGCTGTAAACTCTGACGGAAAGCTCTGGCTGTTCGTCCACTTCTAGACTTAGTATTCTCGCAAAACTTGAATATTGCGTGCGCATCTGTTTTATAGATCTGGGTTTTTTATGTATTCAGATTGTTGGTTCCTTGCCAATCGGGCAAATGCACTCCGACTTCGAAGCAAACCCCTAATTAGTCGACTCTTACGACATGCTTGCAAAGAAATAATGGATCTGTACATGTTTTCTCTGATTTTGGGGCACCAGAATGTACACAGGAGAGAAGAAGAACTGACTGACATAATTGCCTTTTCCCAGAATGAAGTGCAGCATCCTTTTCGCATTCGCCTCCATTGTCGCAGCCTTGCTGATCACCACATCACACGTGACTGCGCAGCGAAACATCAAAGATTACGTGGGACAGCAGCCGCTTCTCTTCGGTCGAAGAGGCGTCAACCCAAACATGAACAGCTTGTTTTTCGGCAAAAGGTGAGTATTGTGACGTCAGACATCTGGAAGAATAATGGTTGTGTATCATTTACAGGACGTTGCAGAACCAATCCCAGCAGTCCCTGACTGTTATGTGGTTTCTATAGGCAAATTTACAAGCAGTAGTTTGCCATTGCCCCTGGACGGTCGGCCCCCTGATACCACTGTGGAAACCAACGCAAGGCGTATTGCTCGCAGCTGGGATCGAACCCGGCACCCCGGCATTACGAAGCGTTCGCATAGACTAAGCCACAGAGCCGACGGAAGGATATTACTTTAAACAAACTGTACACAAGCAATGCAGACACTGCGCATACTATACTGTTCTACCATACATGTCCAATAGGGCTAGCAGTCTATTCCTCCATTACGTTCTAATCTTAAACATACATAACATAACACTTGACCCATTAGAAGAGCTTGTGAAATCCGGCCATCTTTCTCTGTCTTCTGTTTGATGAATAAGTGTATGATAACTTAGTCCTGTCCATTCCTTGATGTTGTCATTTAAATCATGTCTCACTACGTGCCGAAACCAAACCTTTGTCTCTGACATAATTATTAGTTTTGTTTTCTATAAAACTAATTCGTAAAATGCGTCTATAGCATTACATTCGAAAGCCTGAATCATAGTTTACATTTCCAACTTTCACACCCGTATAAGAAAATATAGGTAGTCTATCTATGTCTAACCTATGCAACCAGTTCAATATCATGTGTGGAATCCACTTCAGCTGCTTTGGCTTCTCTCACCATCATTCGTTTTAGGGTTTTTTTTTTTTTTTTTGCGTCATCGCCTCCTAAATCCCACTTTATTACCTATGCATGTCTGAAGAACACATTCAAATGAACGATCATGCAGATGATCATGCAGACACTTCGGTTGCTATGGCTGCTCCAGCACCGGACGAAAGTGATGTTATCAATGCCACGCTCAGCGCTTACCGTGACGACCAGTGCGCCAAAGGTCCTGACTCCGTATCCCTGTCCAGGCTGATAGACATTGGGGTGCAGCCTGGAGCTGCAATAAATAAACATTTTATTAAGGGGCAAGATGTTTCATTAATCAACACAGACCAGACATCATCTGTCGTTTTACACTTGTGGAGATTTTGAGGAGGAGATCGGACCTTGTTGTCATAAATATTTCCAGAAAGTTCTGCGTGTTCGTCCACTACTGGACTTTAGTCTTGTATTACAGTCTTGTCATAATTCTTTCTAGCAGATACACGTGGCCTTTGTTCGTGTCCTTTCTTCGTCGCGTTCATCGGCTCTAAACTCCAACAGAAAGTTCTGGCTCTTCGGCCACTTCTGGACTTCAGTCTTAAATTACAGATGTGGCTAATTTATGTGAAGAGACTGTTGGTTCCCCGTCTCTTAGGCAGATACACTCCGACTTTGAAAGATACCTCGTGTACTTAAATTTTGACTCTTTCATATGTATGGCATTGTATTGCGGGGGTGGGAGTCACCGTGGCCGAGCGGCCAGACGTTCGTCGCGGATCGGAAGGTTGTGGGTTCGCTCCCTGGCGGAGCCGGACTTTTTTCAAAAATGACCTTGGCTCCCAGGTCGACCCAGCCTTGGTGGATACCGGGTGCAGTCCCGGGAAAGTAAAGGCGGCTGGCGTGATGCTGACCACATCGCCCATCTTGTGCCGATTGGTCTACAAAAGTATTTGTCTAGCCCTATATGCCCTATACACCCGATGGCGTGGAAAAGGGTCCTTTACTTTACCTAATGCTGGGCTTGTGAAAACATGCAAATTCCACTACATGGCATTGGGCCAAAGGGTGAAAGCGCCGCTGGATCGATTACAAAAACAACAACAACGATACGTCGATCCTTCGGGCTCTGGTCTCTTTCATATTATTAATAATAATAAATAATAATAATTATTATTATTATTATAAATACTTTTGCACACATACATAAGGCTCAAGCCCAGGGCCCCACTGTAGAATTTTCTCAGCATAATACAAGTCTTTGAAAAGACGCCCTTAAAAGCTTTGTGCTGTCAGATCAAAAGTGCAAACTATTTGGATTCCGTTGCTCACGCCCCCTCTGATGCAGTCCGAACTCTGTATGATAGCACAGCAGTGCCCTGATCAAGTTCCCATTTTCTATTAACAGACGCCTTAGCAGTCTCAATAATCTAAACCTTGTTCAAATGCTCAGTAATAAAAAGGCAATAACAATAATAATAAGAAGAATTATTACTGTTATTGCTGTTTTATTACTGAGCATTTAAACAAGGTTTAGATCCCTGCCATCGTACTAGACAATGTTTGGAGGGAAGACACCCACACCCGCTTTCCCCATCCCCCCCCCCCCCCCATCCCCCCAACACAAAATCACTCAACTGACATATATCATTGCAACAACTGTCTTTCAGAGGCGAGTTCAACCCAGTGGTGACCTGAAGGATCTGAAGACTGCCTGCTCGATGATCCTGCCCTATTTGGAAGAAGCGGACTCCACGGTGACCGATGAAGGTAGGTCGGCATGACGTGAGTTGGCTAGGGGCGTATGCTCCACTGGGATTTAGAAAGATATCCCTCGTGTTGGTTCCATTGCCCCGTCTAGGGTTGGTATTCAACTCCGTGCTGACACTACAGTGTCTCAATGCTGCCTGGCTCTATGATATGGTATCTGTCAGTCCCTGGAGACGATGGAGATGTGCCGCTGGCTTTGGGAGCAGCATCTGCTGTAACTGTAAAGTCCGATGCGCGAGTGACAGTCTCTGCCACACAGGATACACACAAAAAAGTATATGCTCCTTCGCTATGAGGTTAACTTTCTTGGTATCTATAGCTCGTTTCGTTTGGCTTCTTTCAAAATGCAACAGTCCGTCTTTCACCATCTGTCGCCATAGTAGTCGATCTGCAGCTGATTTTTCCCAAATCTCTGACCTATCTTGGTATCTATCATTTCACGTGTACACATGTCTTTATAACGTAGCTTTGGCCTTCCTGTGGGTCTATTTCCTGTTTCCATTCAATATCCAGGAGGTTCTTTGGAATACCTGCCTGCTTTACGATCCTGCCCAATTTGGAAGTTGCCGATAAATGTCTTTTCGAAGACGTTCATGGATGATATAGCAGACCGAAGACTGTGTGTTTTGAATATAATAGAACTGATACAAGTGAAGAGAAGTAACTACAGGACTCTTGTCTACGCCTTCAGTCGTACTAGGCATATAGGGCTAGACCTATATTTTATAAACCAGTCGGCCTTTGGTGGTTAAGGTGGTCAACATCACGCCGGCCGCCTTTGCTTCTGAGGACTGCACCAAGTAGCCACTTAAGGCTTGGTCAGCATGGGAGCTAAGGTCATTTTTTTTAGGAAAGTCGGTTCCATCAGGACCCGATCCCACCAACTTTCCATCCACAGGCCAGCGTTTAGCCACTACACCACGGCGTCTCCCATAGATACCAGTGGTAGGTACTATTATTGTCATCATCGAGTGCCACGTCGGCAATATTTCGTTGCAAGTATTGTAATTAAGTTTTTTAACTGGCCTTTTTTTTTCTTCTGCGTTCACCCAAAGCCGTTACAGGTGCCCTAATTATAACTTCCTTGGGGGTTGAAAGGGTAATCGGCGACCGGGTCACCCATTGGCTGGTCGGTAGACGACTTTGTCGCTGGTCGGGGGCAGTATTTGGGTCTTGTTTCCTCTGATCGCATCAATACCGCAAGAGTCCTTTTCAGAGCTACTTGGTGGCGCGCAATGTTAAGCCATTGAATATAATGAACATAACCTAGATTCAATTATAACGTCAATCTCCTCCTTAGGGGACGCTGGTTGAACGTGACAATATATTATTTTTGTAAAGCAACGGAACAAGTGGACAGGGGTGCCAGTTATTCCTTGTAGTTCTTCCATCCAGACTGATATTTCTGTGATCTTAGGGTGGTTAACCTTCATTTAGCAGTCCTGCATGGATTCATGTCCACGTTCTTGCCCGCACACGCTCGTGTAGCCGGTGCAGGTGCTGTCTTTATAACTTCTTTGGAGGTTGGGCAAGGTTCTGGTATTTGCCTTTTTGGAGTGTCTTCCAGACTAGGGTTGTTTAATCTCAGGATGGTATTGTATAGGTAGGAGCCCAGAAGGGACAAACTGATCGATCGATTCATTGGTCTCTGTCTCCATAGAACTGCAGGTTATCCCAAGCTGGTATGGACAGTTGCGGCTGCCATAATTATGACCTCTCTGGAGGTTAAGTCATGACAAGCTCTACGACAGGCTACACGACAGGTTACACGACAGGCTCCACGACAGGCTCCACGACAGGCTACACGACAGGTTCCACGACAGGTTACACGACAGGCTCTATGACAGGTTCCACGACAGGTTGCACGACAGGCTCTATGACAGGTTACACGACAGGTTGCACGACAGGTTGCACGACAGGTTACACGACAAGCTCCACGACAGGCTACACGACAGGCTACACGACAGGTTCCACGACAGGTTACACGACAGGCTACACGACAGGCTACACGACAGGTTCCACGACAGGTTGCACGACAGGCTACACGACAGGCTACACGACAGGTTCCACGACAGGTTACACGACAGGCTCTATGACAGGTTCCACGACAAGTTCCACGACTGGCTCCACGACAGGTTCCACGACAGGCTCCATGACAGGCTACACGACAGGTTCCACGACTGGCTCCACAACCGGATATAAAGCCGGAGCCTGTCGTGGTTAAACGCTGTGTTTGGGATTCACCCTGTTTGTCTGCCAATTAGACAGAGCCGTTTTATGATTTCAACAAGAGATCAACATCACGGCACAAGGGTGCTCATCCATAAGTGATCCGTTCTACTTCTAACTCAAGCCTGAATTCGATGAATCTCAGCCCAGAGTACGAACTCCATAGCACCGGCGAGGATCCTAGAGTACTTTGGGTAACTTTTTACTACAAATTTTGTTGGGGCGGCGCCGTCAGCCTACTCATTTCGATTTCCAGCTGCCAATGGATCTTTTACGTACGCA